CTGCCCAGTCAGGGTGCCTGCAGCAGAGGGATGACTAGATGACCTGTGGGGCACTCTTCCTGGCCAAGGATCCTTGGACTCCTAGAAGTCCCAGGGGCTTCATGAACATGACCTGGGCAAGGAGGAGGAGGGTCCCAGGGCCATCCCTCAGTCGGTAACTGGGGCTCTGGGAGGGGTTTCCTACATCCCAGCCCAGCCATGTCTGATTTGTGGGATCAAGAGGAAACACCTGTGATGACCTGACCCCACGCCCACCCTCCGCCTGAAGCTGGCAGGCTGTCCTTGGTCCCTTTCTGCCCTCTCTCACCTCCTTTCCTCTTCACCTTGTGCAGCACGATGCCTGCCCCCCACACCCCTCTTCCTGGGGCCCCCTACTCTGCATTGCCAAGCCTCCCGTGTCTGGAATTTGCTGAGAATACACTCCTGGACCCTTCTGTGCTGCACCAGAGGAAGTTTCAGGCTGGTATTTGCATGGCAGGTTATCAACCTGCTGGGCAGCCAGCACCCAGGAGGCCGTGGGGGAGCGGCCAGGCCCTGCACCTCTCCATCCACTTCCTCTCCTGCTGCTAGGGGCAAGTCCGAGGGCAGGGAGATGCGGGCCTCCTAGGAAGGGGTATCTCTCCAGGGGAAGGATAGGAGACCCACTCAGCCAATACAGATGTGTGCCAGGCGCAGATGAGTACAGAATAGGCGGAGGCCCTCTGTTGTGGAGCTCACGCTCCACAGCTCGTTGGAGGTCAGGACTGGCCCAGGGCTGAGGGACAGCTCCCCAGCTCCCACCCAGGAAACTGAAACCCCCAGAGGGAGAGTGAGTAAGGAGTGAGCCAGGACTGGGCCCCAGGTCCCAGCCTCCCAGCCAGGAGAGGGAAGACGGGGCCCAGACCGTGACTCCGGCCCCGCACCCTTCCTGTCAGCAGCCAGGGCCACCTGCCCGCTGGAGAGGGTAAGGAGTGCTGCGTCCCCTCCTCTGCCTGCTCCCCTGTCTCCCTCCCCCCTCTGCCCCCACCATTTCCCCATCTTCCTCCTCCCAACCTGCTCCACAAGCCCCCAGCCGGCTCTTCGGCTCCATTCCTGGTTTGAAGTCTTGAGCCAATGCCTGGCCGAGAGGCCCTGATAAGGGGTCCCTTGATGCAGCGACTCCAACACAGCCCTGGGGACAGAAACCCACAGGGAATGTTGACCTGAGTTCCAAAGGTCCATACGGAGGAAAGGCAAACGGAGAAGCTGCGCGAGGAGGTTCCTTAGACTCGACCATCCAGATGCAACTGCACAAGTGACGTGCATGGAACCCGAGAGCCCGAGGCGGGTGGGGTGGGGGGCGCTATCAGTGGATATTCATCTTCCTTCCTTGCTTCCTCCCTCCCTTCGTTCCTTCCTTTCTCCCTTGGGAAGTATCTCCAACTCCAAAAATGATTAAAATGCCATATCAATCATTTATAACATCACTTACAGGAATAAGATTCACAACAGTTCAAATTGTAGGAGTCCTGCTCCTCCCCTCTGGCTCCAGATCGGAAAGCTACACATGTTACTCTGCGAGTGAGGGCTGGGGGCAGTATCCCCTGGCATTCTCTCACCCCCACTTAGGCCTGTAATTCAGATTGTCCTGCTCCTGGGGGTGTCCTTGAGAAATGCAGATCTCAGTGAAAGTGTCTCATCTGCCGAGAATGCCGCTGAGATAGGGGGTGGACAAGGGGCCGCAGCTTGATTCCCCACCCCTCTTCATCCTCGGGCCGCGGTTCCAGGGAGCTCTCCCTGCGCCTGTCCTGGCTCCTGGCATCTGCTCTCAGGCCCTGGCCTCCTGTCCCTTTCCTGCTCCTCATTTACTGCTAAGGCACCTCTCCCACCTGAATTCTTGGCACCCGCAGAGGTAGGCGTTGATTTGGATGAAGCCTTTATGTATTGCCATCGAGTTTAAAGATACCAGTGACAACAAGCTTGAGCTCTAATGTGATACAACAAGCACTCCAGCCCACAAAACACACCAGCCTCCCAGAGGGATTCTGAGCACTTAAGTTCTTTTCTGTGCAGGCAACTGTTGCCCCCAATTCCAGGGAAAGTAAGACAGTGAAGCCAGCATTTGTTTGTGGAGGAAGGGTGACAAGGAGATGGGGCAGGGGTGCGCTTACGCCAGAGGTGGGGCAAGAGCCCCTAACCCCTAGAAGTAATCCATAAATGCACCTTCTTTCAGTCTTAGAAACCACTTCTCATCACCCTAAATGGGCCAGGAGAGGAGGTGGACACACATAGGGGGCAGGAAGCAGCTCCCCATGCCAATTTAGGGTGCCCCCAGGGCTTTGCCCAGCACCTGGCAGACAGGGTGGAGAACCTCTCCCGTGCACCCTCCTCACCTCCCAAGCTTCCCTGGGTCTCCTGCCCTCTCTGACCCTTCCACACCACCCCTCCCCACCCTCTTCAACACACACACTTCTCCCCTTCTGGGCCTTACTCCTAAAAGCTGAAGGAGCATCTCTCTCAGAAGCTGGCCACGGGGTGGTCAGGGATACCTTGGTCCCCTCCCTAGCAGCCCCCTTTGCCCGACTCAGCCAAGTCTTTTGGTTTCTGCCTTGGAGAGGCCCCATCCCGCTTTCTGCACCAGGGCCCCCGTGTTTGTCACCCACCTGCCCCACTGTCAGCCTGCTGCTCTGGCTGGCCGGCTTGCTCTACTGTCTGGTTCTTGGTCTCAACGGGAAGTGATCCGCCCACCCCTGGCCTGGGCTGCCTCCCCACCATTGCCCACCCATCACCCTTGCAGACCCCTCTGAAGCACTCCTGCCTGCCACGCAGCCGGATGCCCCACTTCTCCTTTAGTCTATTTCTTCCTCCCCCTTCATGGTGTTTAGAAGCCTGCTTGCAGTCAGCCCAGCCCTTCTCTTCTGTATGCATGTAGCCCCGTGTCTGGCCTGCCTCACTATACAGCCAGACTGAATTATTCATCAGCAGAAGCGAGCAAGGGAACTCACGGCATAAAACCAGCAGCACAGGTTGGGTGACCTGTTTCGCTTATGGATGCATTGAACTGTTTTTCCAATCTGTTAAAACCCCACCAAATAGGAGTGATGGGCCAAGCTGAGAATTAGAGACAAAAGGGCTGTGTATTTGACCCCTGGCTTTGTTCCTCCTAAATTGGTACGTCTGGCAAAAACATTTGATTTCTCCAGGGCTCCCTACCCTGATAGAGAAAAATGGTGATTTTGTCCTCTGGCTTCCCAGGCTTTGCAAGAGGACGTATAGCTCTTCTTCAGAAAGTACTCTGGACGTTTCCCTGGAGGGTTTTGAAGGAAGAAGCCGCCTGATGATTTTACTGTGCTCACTCCTCACAGTCCTGCCCGCCAGAAGCAAGGTCCCTAAGCGGTCAAAACCATGTGCACCCCCTGAGCAGAACGCAGGACATAGGGATAAAGTAAGTAGCCTTCAGGGGGCTCCATGGTGGGGACATATGACCTCTGGCCTCAGGAAATTCCCAGTCTGGGTGGGTGGACAGGTTCAGAGAAGGATACAGTCACAAAACAAAATGGCAAATGACACAGGTACCCAGGCACAGCAGGTCAAATGTGCCGAAGCCTCTTCCATGGAGAATGGGCAGGACAGTGATGCAGACAGACGCAGAGGAGAGGGGCCAGCTCCGCTCTGCTGGCCCGGACTGCCCCCGGGCACCGCCCCCCAGCCCAGTCTGGCTTTACCAGTAAGAACCCACAAATAGCTCTCCCCCAGGCCTCAGTTCTCCTCCCCCAAGGGAACAGATGAATACTCCTGACAACAGCCGCAGACCAATGATCCCTGCTTTCTGAGGCTGCCGCCTGCAGAGAACCAAGGGCTGCCAGGGGGCCAAGGCCCAGAAGCTTGCCCAGACTACTTCTTCTCATCCAGGGCAACCTCAACTTCTCTGAGAGCCAGAGGGATATCCTGGGGTCCTGGTGTTTGTGGGCCTAGCCAACTGCAGGGCTGACGCTGCCCGACGCAGTCCGTGCTACTGCAGGAGGAAGGATGGAGGGACGTATGTGCGAAGAGAAGAATGACAAGGAGAGGGGAAGGTGCTGACCCGGTGATGCCAGTTCTAGCTGCTAGGATTCTCCAGAAAAGAAAAATTCAGGAGCAAGCCAGGGAAACTTCCGATGTAAGGAATTCCCCGCTATGTCATAAGCCTCCCCTCCCCTCCCAGCACAAAAGCAGCTTTTTAAAATGCACATTGAATGAGCTTTAGGGAGTCAATCCCTAAACAACCCCAGGTTCTCTGTTCCTCCCTTGCGGCAGGCCGGGCTGTCACCAGCCTAGTCAGAGAGGAGGCCAGGGCTTCTCATTGATTCTGTCAATTGAAATCAACATGATCTTTGCATTTAAGAAAAAACATATTCAGCGTCTGGCTGAGGACCTGAGGGCCCGGGGCCCAAGAGCAGCCCACCAGGGTGTTCTGATAAACTGCTCCAGAGCCCCTTTTGTTTGGGACCATCTGACATATTTTTTTACAATAAGGGGTGATGCAGAAAAACACTTCTGTCAGTCAATACATCAGGGCTGTGTTGTAAAACAACAGACAAGGAATACTCAGACGCCATGTATGTGTGCAAGTAACCACTAGGATTGCTAATTATTTTCCTAGAGGATTCTACTAGGGACACAAGAACCAGACCAGTTTATCTCCTTTGGAGCATTCCAGGCTGGTTTTCCACTGGTCCTGGGTGGGCAGCAAGGGGCTGTGAGTCTTGAGACACAGGCAGGAGTGGCTGCAGGGCATCCTCCCAGGAAAGCAGGAGCTGACCTGGCTGACTCGGGCCTCTGCAGCCCGCAAAGCCCTTTGCCTGTGGGACCACCATGGGGGACCACAAAATTTCCCTGTATTTCACAATTCCAGCTGGGCCTAGCTCTCTGCGCCCATTTGCAGCCTTAGCAGGCAGAACAATGTAGCTGCGCTCAGCCACCTCCAAGCCCGGACACCTCCCTCAGCAGGAGGGCCTGGTGGGGCCAGAGCCAGAGGCCTGAGAGGCACCGCAGGCGGCTGTTACTCAAGGAAGCGGGGGCGCAGCCCTGGGACTTACGTGTAATGCACATGTGCACTCTCATTTACACAGATATGCAAGATCACGTCTTTTTCAGATGGGAAGATACGCACATAGTCACTTGTAAAAGCAGCGATGCACCCTTTAATATCCAATGTGCCCTCCACCCTTCTCACACACATACTAGGAAGTCCTATGAAACCACACACCTTCCACCCTCCCTCCTGCAGGGTGGGCTCCTCCCAGAAAGCAGTCCAGCCAGGGCCCTGGGCTGGGGGAGTAACTGGCACTATTTGCATTTTCCCAACGAAGGGAGTGGCACTATTTCCCAAACAGGTCCCACAGAATGTCAGCCTGACACCCCTAGATTTCACTGAGCTCCTCCGAGGAGACATTGCCTTCCCTCTGTGCTGTCCCAACCCATCTAATTCAATCATGCTGGTTCTTTGCTCCAGCCCGTCTAACTAGGTCCTTGGTCCCTGGACACAGTATAACCCAGGTGCCCTCACCCACCTCCAGAGAGGAGCCACACCACTCTTATCTCTCTGGTGTCTTCCCAGCCCCTGCCCATAATCACCTCCTCCGAGAAGTCTCCTCTGATGAAATATTTTTTTCTACATGGCAAGGCTCTTCACCACTCAGGTAGAAAATTGCCTTGTGTTTATGGCTTGCTGTCCATGTCTGTGTCAGTCTGACTCATGAGAGGGCTATCTCCCCTGTTAGGTGGGGGTCCCCTGATCCTCCAAACAGCATCCTGCCCCTCCAGGCTCCTGTAGAATCCTGTCCTGGGTGTGAACTCAGGAGAGGGAATCCACTGCCTGGACGACACGATTTCCAAGAACTCTGCTCCAGTTTGCAGAGGACCCTGATGGAGTCCAGGGCCCTTGGGAAACGGGAGCGGTGACATGGGGCTGGAGCCATATGGGTTCTCAGAATTAAGAGCTTTTCCCAGAAACGACTATAATTATCCGCAGGGCCTCCATGGAGAGCAGTTCTTCATCTGGTTTCCAAGGTGGGAGATGCTTCACGCTCACTTCCTTGAATTCCCTAAGGAAAGTCATCCTATGACATGGAACAGAGCCGGCAAGGTGAGAAGTACACTCAGACAGAGGCTCCGAGGTCAGGAGTCAGGAGGGAGAAAGGAAGAGGGAAGGAGTGGGAACCGTGGGGTGGGGTCAAGATAACAGAAAGCAAGCGTGTTGGCGAGAAAAGGGAATATGAGAAGAGAAACCAAAGGGGAGAAAGATAAAGGCTGACCAAAAAAAAGAGTTATGACAGAATTAGAAAATAGATGATCCAGAAACGCAAACCCAGGCAAGGACGGAACGCTACCATCTCCATCAGGAGCTCAGGAGCCTTCTCAGGAATCAGGGTATCCGTGGTTGGGGCTGGGATGATAGCACCTGCCATGGGACCAGTGGCATTCTATTAGATGGATTAACCGTACAACACCCCTATGAGGTAGGCACCATTAAGCATGACCTTTTATAGCTCCAGAAACCCCCAGTTAGAGAGAGGGGACGCGACATCCCCCAGGTCACATGGCTGATAAGTGTCAGAGCTGATGTTCAAATCCATGTTTGATTTCAAAGCTTGCCCACTTTACATCCTGTGTCCCCAGTTGTTCTCCAGCTAGGCAAGCGCTCTGACCTAGGCTGATTTTTTTCCCAGCACTGCAACAAACATTAATGAAGTGCCTGCTGTATGCCCAGCACCACCATACCACCATAGAAGACATCTCTACCCCACAGTTTACCATCTGGCTGGGGTTATCAGATATCCTCTGATGTTTGATGGCTTGGCCTTGAATCTCCAGGTAGAAGGGGTCCCCCTAAAATGGAAATAGCTGTCCCTTTGCTCCAGTTATACCCAAGTGACTGACAGGGCCAGAGGGGATTTCAGCCTCTTCCTTAGTCACCTGATCCGCATCAGCAACACCCAGAGATGGAAAATTTCTTATGGAGATTCTTGGTCTTCTCTAAGTCCCCAGTCCTTAAAAGGGCATCTGTCTTGGGAAGATGGGAATCAACAAAGAGAAAAGGGTGGTCAAAAGGTTGTTTGGAGTCTGTGCTTCTCTCCAAAAGGCTCACTTTCCCCCACAGGTGACAGATGTCTCTCTCCTTGCTGACCACTTAGAGGGTGGGGCAGGGAGGTGGCGGGAGCTAGAAGGATCTGGGCAAAGAAGACGACTCGGGGGCAACTTCAGGAGCACTGCAGGGCCCCTGCCCAGAGCAGAGGACGCGAGCCAGGGCTCCCTCCTCACGCACAGTCGGGACTTGTTCGGAAGGAGCAGCCTCCCTTAACCAAGCTTCAGGAAGGGCACAGAGCAGGACGGGGCCTGGGATGTGCTGGGGTCTCGGGAATTCCTTTCTCAGCACCTTGAACTTAGACTAGAACATCACCAGCTTGCATGGCTAGAGGCTGGGGGAAGGATTCAATGAACTCTCAAGGTCACTAAACAAAATTGTGCTTTGAACTGTTCAGACATCCAGAAGGATATAAAGAAGCAGGTCATGACACACAAAGCCCTGCCCCGCTTGGCGACCCCCCTCCCAGGTTTGGTGTTTACCACCTTCCAGGGCACTCTCCACCCTGGCACTCCTGCCTCTCCCATGGGCAGCAGGCCAGAGAGGTCCTTCGGCCGGCCTTTGGCATTAGGACTCCATTTGTCCAGGGCTGCCTCATGGGGCTCCTCCTCCTGGCCCGCTTCGCTCTCGCTTCCCAGGTGGCTGAGCAGACAATCAATATTTATGTGACTCCGCCAGGCCTGCTGGACAGAGGGTGGCCCGGCAGACAGAGGCAGAGTCACCATCTGCAACATGAGAGGATTTTAATTCAGACACAGAACAGGTGACCCAGGCGCCTGGCGCCTCAGGCCGAGCTGAGGTCAGCAGGAGCCGGGACCAGCCAGGCCTGGGGTGCCAGGGGCCAGGAGGTCTGATGTGCCTCCATGTCGGCCCTGACATCTCCTCTGCTGGAAGTGCCCAGCTCCTGTTTACTCTGGTGGTAGGCAGGGCAAAACCCCTGGCTGAGCTGAAGAGGGAATAATAGTCAGTTTATTCCCCACTGCGGCTCAGGGCAACACAGCTGCCTGGCTAGAGGGAGTCTGGAGGGGGCTCCCTCGTGCCCCAGGGCCCCAGTCTGCCCACTGGCTGCCCTCTCCTCTCCGGCTCTCACACATTGCTCTCCTGAAGGACGCCCTGCTCCCCAGCATTCCACAGGGGTCACCCCCACCTCCTCTCAGCACAGCCTCTCCATCCGGGGCCTCCTCCCTGGGCTCTGCCCTCCTCAGGAAGCCGTTCTTAGTGAAGCTGTCTTGGCTCTGAACGCTCAGCCCCGTGGTCCTTCAGTTGTCACATAATCGACAGCATGGTGGTAATTTCCTCTTGTGAAAATACAGCCTTGGCTGCTATGGATGATCTTCCCTGCTTCTACAAGCTTCTAGAGAGCAGGGACCATGGCGAAGCATCCTGGGCATCCTTCACAACCATTTTCCCAAGTGGCTCCTTGCATGTTTGTTGAATGACTGAGTGATCTCTGTCCCTACATCTACCTGAGGGTTTCTCAGGGATGGGGCCACCCATGTCTTATCTGTTCTTGGAATCACTCAGCGGAACCAGTAAAGGGATACCTATCCATAATTTTTGAGTGAGTAGAGAAAAAAAGCAGAAAAGTCTCTCAGCCTTTCTTCCCCATACGCTGCTTACCTTCCCACCCCAGCAGCAGGAAAACCACCTGTTACAGTCTCATCACACTCCTTTGAAATCCCTGGCTGATCACATTTTGTTTGATGGGCCTGATTTGAGGGTTTGTCTGTCTATTTACCAGTCTACACAAGTGTTTGAATCAAAACCATGCTGAGATGAAAAGCACGCTTCACACAGCTTCCCTGCCTCCGCATCAGCACGGCGACTTTACCATGCTCTTGATCTTCATGGGTGCGCCTCCATTCTACAGATGAGGAAACTGAGGCTTAGAGAGAGGGCGCGCGGGATCAGGAGCTCACAGGTTAGACTCAGGTCTTCTGGCTCCAGGTTACGGTTCGCCGTGACACCTGGCTGCCTCTCTCCCTCTCTGATGCAGGCTCCTTGCAAAAAGAAGACAGAGATGGCTTTCAAGCGCAGGCAAGGCTGAGTTGCTCTCAGGGTTTCTGGCCCGCCAGAGCCTTCTCGTGGAGCCTGGCAGCTGCTGATGGAACCCAGCTCTGGCAGGCCAGAGGGCGCTGCTGCTGGGCCAGCGCTCCCAGCTGAGGAGCGCCACGCTCCCCCCAACCCACAGCAACCCCAGAGACCATCAGTCAGCACAGATACACTCAGGGAGGCCCTGAGGACTTAAGAGTCCGCAAGGAGCCCCTACTCTTGACCAGATGAGAGCAGCGCCCAGGCCCTCCTTCCCTGGGCTTCTTCCAGGGCCCACAGTGGTCACAGCGGCCACATGCTGAGCATTTAGCATGGGAAGGCCCTCTAACCCCATGCCTGCACCATCGCATTGCCCCACTAGAAGGACCCGTAAGGAACGAGAATCCCTGTTCACACTGGAGTCACCTGGGACTCCACAAGGTCAAGTCACTTTGTGGGAAGGCTTGTTGCTGGTGTCAGCACGCAGGTCCACATCTCAGTCTTTCTGAAGTCAAACCGACAGCCTCTCCACTATACTACCACCGACAAACTGTCATCTCCACCTTTCTGCTCATTAACACTGCACCACACCTAGGCCCGCAATATTCATTTTTAATTTTATTTCTTTATTTTGAATAGGACATATACTCAAAAAGCCCAAAACTCATACACTGCAGAAGAGTACACCATGAAAAGTCTTCCCCCCACCCTTGATCTCCAAACATACAGCTACTCTTTCCAGAAGCAACCGCTCTTACCTGTTTCCTGTATCTCCTTCCATATGCACATTATGCGAAAGGAATAATTACGGGTAAACATTATGTCCCCCACCCTTTTTAAACAAATGACAAGATATTTTACACATTGCTCTGTGCTTGCATTTTTTTTTACTAAACAGTATGTTCTGGGAATTATTCCATAATCATACGTAAAGTATTCTCATTTTTCTTGGTGACGGCCAAGTCTTCCATTGTCTACAAATCCATTTAACCAGTCCTCTTTCATGGACATGTAAGTGGTTTCCAATCTTTTGCTATGAAAAAGAATGTTACATGAGAAGCTTTATATATATAATGCCCTTGCCCATGTGCAAGACATCTGTGGGATAAAGTCTTAGATGTGAAAGTGCTGAGTAAATAGGCTCTGGAATGAAACACTCCCAATGGGAAGCAGAAGAGAATGCCAAGTGTAGATGATAACTTTCATCCCGGTCTGTCACTTCCAGCTGTGTGACTTCCAGCAGGAATGCAGCCGCAGTAGTCTCTTAAAGTATTTGCTTCCTTATATGGTAGCTCTGAGGGTTCAAGGAAGGGATGTCATGTATATAAAGCGCCCAGCAAGATGAGACGGGGCAACGACCATGTGCCCTGTTTACTGGTCCCGGGAGGGAGTTTCTCCCCCTGACCTGTCCCCCTCTCACCCTCTGCATCCCTGGTCTCTCTCCATGTCTGTGCTCCCAAGGCCTCTTTACACCACCTGCCTGATCACGCCGGTTCTTTGTGGGGTTCATGCCTCCTGCCCACCAGAGAATGAGCTCCTGGAAGACAAAGACCCTCTTACTCATTTCTGAAACACCCTCCCCACCTATCAGAGGTCCTGGCACATAGTAGATGCTTGGTAAAGGTCTGTGAAATGAAATCAGCTCTGGAAAGTATTCCTCACAGCTCCTACTAAGTTTGCTTAGCACTTTAGCAAAGAGGAGCCTGGGTCACGTCCAGCCAGCAGGCTGAGGAGGCCGCCAGCCTCCCTCTTGCCCTCTGAGATCTGGTCATCAGGAAAGGTTCTCAAATGTGCCGTATTAAAAACCCAGCTTCTGCATCACCACTGCCCCCCATGCACAGCCACCCCCACAGCCCAGAGCCTGGTAGAAAGCATTCAGACAGTCTGCCTCTGGGGAGAGGTGGAGACTACTGCCTGGCCTCCATCCATCCCTTCCCGCGCGTGTCCCCAGCTTGGACTGCGCACCTCCAGGGAGTTCATCACTAGGGACTGTTGCCCAGAGAGCGCAGGGAGGTGGGCGGAAATCATTTCGGTTTCTCTCTGGGAGCATAAATGCTTTTTTAATTGCTGTCAAAGGCAGCTCCTCAGGAATGCATTATTGATAGCAATTGAAATGAGAGAAAGAGAGGTGGGGGGAGGCACTCCCCCCTTTGCTGGCTCGCTGCCTCCCTCCCCAACCCCCCACCCACCTTCTTCCCACCCCCACTGCACTTGTGGCCTGAGACCTCCCACTGCTGGCGCTGCCTGCCCCCCACATCCCCTTACCCCACTTGTTTCCCCCGCTCTTCTCCTGTACCCCTATTTCTCCATGCTCCCGCCGGTCTCTTTTCCTGCCTGGCCCCAGCTCTACGCCCCACCCCACCCCACCTCTTCCCAGCTCTCTGGTCTCCAGGCCGACCTAAGGATTTTTCTTACCTGGCTTTGGCATCTTTTGGCGCTCCACCTGTGTCCTAACTCCCCACCTGCGGCCATTGCTGTGTCCCCTCCTCCCTTCCTCCTGTCCCAACCCCCACCCGCCCTTGCCCACCATATTCCAACTCTTTCTTAGGCCCTCATTCTCTCCCTTTCTGCTTGGTATCATTTTATTGTGGTCTGGGATCCGCAGCGATTTTCTCTGCAACCGGGCAAGTGCCCGGGCTACCCAGGTGGTGTTTCCTGACCCCCAAACCTGGGATGATTTTAATTTCCATCTTCCTCTTGTACCCAGGGTTCTATCCATTCCCCCAAATCCCCAGCCCTCATCCTCAGTTTGTGCCAGTGAGTCACATGAACTCCATGTGTCCCAGTGGCTGTTTGGGACCAGCCCCAGCAGAGTCCAGGTAAGCTGCCTTTGAGGATGCCAGGCCAGGCTCCTTCCTTCACTCAGCGGGTGTCTCCCGTCCTCACCCACCCGCGGGTTCTCCCTGCAGTAGGACTGAGATCACCCCCTCCTTTTCCTGGAGGCTCTGGTGTGGGCTTGGCCCAGGCACCTCCTGTGCCTTTAAGAAAGCACAGTCTCCAGGCACCACCAGCTGGGGAGGGGAGCAAAGATGGCTGTCCTTGCAGCGCCCCTCCAAGCGAGCTAGTAAATGATGACTGAGCTTCCCGCAGGGGCCGGCGCCATTCTGCTCTCCCGGAGCCTGGGACAAGGGTGACAAGGCTCGTTTGCCCCCTTCCCCCTGTGCGCTCACTCCAGTAAGAGAACCTGCCTCTTCTCTCCTCAGATGGGATGAGGAGAGAGTTCCCTACCCTGCTCCCCACCCTACCCAGCTGTCCCTCCAGCAGGCTCTCCATGTGCCTGCCCCACAGTGCCACGCATAAATGTTTACTGTGCCGCTGACTTAGAGACACAAATCACACCCATCCCTCCTCCAGCTCCAAACCCACCTTTCCTCCCACGGAGCCAGGGACCTTGGTCAGCGCCTCAGCCACATCCCAGAGGGACAGAGCAGGGGACTCAAAAGTAGTTGCAGTGAATGCAAATCTGTCACAGGTGATGTTAGCCTGGTTTTAGGCTTTGGACCAGAATGCAGTAGACTTTCCCAGGCCTCTCTGACAGCCGGCCGGATCCTGCTTCTCCTCCCCTGCGCTGGGGCCTCAGTACCCCCGTCTCCTCCCAGGGCTGCCCCACCTCTGGACACCCACATCCCACCAGTCCAGCCAGCTCACAGCAGCAGCCTTCTGCTCACTGCGTCAGACTCTTCTGACTTGTTCCACCGCAGGGCTCCAGCCTTCCGGTCACCTCCACTGCCCTGAAGTGTCTCTGAAGCCGCACATGCTACCCCACAACCCCCTCCACGCGGCCAGGCCATCCTAGAGTCGTGAGCTACCTACCCGCAGGGCACACCCCCCCCACGCCCCCATTAGAAGGGAGCACTGCCCTGCCCCCACCCAAGGCCGCAGGCAAACTGGCTGGGACCCTGGTCTGCCTGGGGGTTCCACTGATGCCAAGCCTAATGAAGACGTGGGGAAACAGGCAGGGTCTGGGGAGGCGTGCTGTCTCTAATCATCACTGCAGCGCCCAGTTACCAAGGGCCTTCTGAAGGTGGCCAGACCAGGGGTGACCTCTGTGTCACCCCGTGCCCCACCCCACTCCCAAACTAGCCCCCCTCACCACAAACAGCGCTCCTGGGACCCGCCGCCAACCCAGGGCGCTTGGCAGCTCTCTGCCTTTCCTGCTTCCTCTTCGTCTCTTGTCCGCACCTCTTAGTATTTTCTCCCCATTTCTTCACCTCTTTTGTGCCTCTCCCTTCCACTATTTCCCTCTCCCTCAGACCACCGCACCCCCTTTCTTCCGCCCTTCCCTCTCCTCCCCCCATGCTTTCTCCTTTCCTCTCCCAAGTCCCCCTTCTCACCCCCAAATCCAGACCACCGCCCACCCTGCCGCTGCCTTGAGCTCAGAGCTGGGGTTAGAAAGCTGCTGCTGGGCCTGGCATCTAGTCTGGATGGGTCTGTCAGTGTTTTCACAGAGGCTCAGCGGGCATACATTTATGACTGAGCTGTTTCCTTTCCTCGGTGGCACCAGGCCCTGGGCTGAGTGTAGCCAGGGACGTGCCTCCTGGGACACAAGAGCATTCTCCCCAGAGGTGGGCAAGCTAAGCTCTCCTCAAGAGAAAAAGAACTGCTGGTTCATTCGGAGGGAACCAGGGTTCAGGCAACCAGGCAAGTTAGGCCTCTGTCGTGGGCTAGGACCTTCTGGAGCCCAAGGGTAGAGGCTCCCTAACCAGGGGCGAAGCAAGCAGTTGTTTTATAATGGGACCTGAGGAGCTTTGCAAAACCCGTCCCCAGAGTATCTCTTCAGCCTGCCATGGTCTCTGTAATCCCCAGCTACTCCCTTGTATTAAGCCAATACCTATAAAAACCATATCCAATATTTCAGGGACACTACTCTTAACTATGTGGTTTGAATACATCACGGCTTTTGATCTTCACAATTGCAAAATCAGGATAGACTACTCGGATGTTGACATAGCCTGCCTGAGGGAAGAAC